TTAAGGGAAAAGGGCTAAATGTTTGACTCAGTTTATAAAGGGATTAATGATGAGAAGACTTGATGTATCTAAGCTAGTTGGAGGATCTCCTGTCTTGGGTTTTAGTTAGTAATAGGTACTTTACTTTCTCCTGTATATGTAGTTTCCCCTTCCCTTCTTTTCTGTTGTAGTTTTTGTAGTGTATAAAAATCAATAAAAAATCCCCTCCGGGGGCTTAAAAAAAAAGAAAAAAAGAAATGTCTTTTGTGAAACTTATTAAAAATATAACCCTAATACACTCAGCTAATCAATGGAATATCACACACACACATTCACCAGAGAGCTAGGAAATAAAGAGGTGAAGCAATCTCAAAGAGATCAATGACAAGAGGGTGAAGCAGTGAGAATGAGGGGGTATAACTACCTTCTGAAGAGAAGAATCCTTGGTGTAGAGAAGCAGAGTGCTTGCCGGCAAGCACATCTGAGAAGACCCAAGAGAGATGGGGGATCCGGCCAGTATGCGTCCCAGGAGAGTAAACCAAAGATGGCCAAGTTTGTGGAGTCCTGCTATAGGAAAATTGTCCCTTTGGGGCAGTGGACACAATGGGGAAATGGTCCATGATGGGCCGGGATGTTTGGTAATGGGTCTAGAGGGGTTGTGGACAAAAGAACTCCAGATTGGGGAAGGGAAGCATTTGTTGGCAAGGCATTGAGCCGTTGCAGTGTCTTAGCTCCATTAACGACAGTAGGCTGTGGCCAGGGTGTTCCCAGTATCGACCTGCACAGTCTGGAGATGCGGAGTGGATACATTGTCCTTTCTGATGGCAGATACGTGTCTGCTTGAGGCTGTATCTGAAGTGATAGCTGATTGCATCAGAGAGACTGTACTGAGCACATGGCTGGACTAGTTGGCACTGCACAAAGAGAGGGCTATATTTGCCCTATGCCAACTTTGGCCCTAACCTGGCCTGGGTACCATCCTTTATGTAGTGGCAAGTGGGGGCTTGGGCTAACGGGGAGACCTCCAAGGAATATCAGGGCCATGATGCAGAGGCAGGCAGTGGGAAACTACCTCTGATCGTCTCTTTCCTTGAAAATCCTATAAGTTTGCCAAAAGCCAGCTGTGACTTGATGGCACTTTCCACCACACCACACACTTTCATACAAACGGGAACCAACTAGGGATCATGGTCCTGAAACTTCTCACTGCTTGGGAAAAGCAGGGAGCACACAATTAGCAACGATTGTCCCCTTGAAAAAAAAGGATCTTCAAGTTCAAAGCATATTGCATTTGTGAAATAAACAGTACAATAATTTCCAAATTGTGTGCCAGAGCACCATAGTGTGGTGAGAGAAACAACTAATTAAAGGCTGCTGTGAGCCCGAAGCACCCACCCACAGAGAAGGCTGATTGGTACATCTCTGCATGATGTACTGTTCTGGTCTTGCCTTTTTCCAGTCAGCCTCTCTGGATGATGCTGTTGTACCTTTGCGTCAGCCAAGGTTGGAAATTGGCTTGGCTGTTCCTTAGGCTTGGTGGTGTTAAAAGTGGTAGGCTTTTTGAAACAGGCAGGCTTGTATGCTAGCAGTGTACAAATGGAGCCCAGCATGTTGGTTTTCAAATTGCCACTTTTAACTAGGGAGATTGGGTCAAGGAGAAATGTTTTGTGCATTGACTTTAATGAAACCCTTGCAAGGCAAGGTACATTCAGTATTTGTGCAGTTCTATGAATAATCAGATTGGCAGCAGAAGGAAAAAGTGCACAGTAAGAAATAAATGAAGCCATGACGTTTTCAAAGCATTAGCAATGCTGAATGAAAACTGATTTTCTCTCTGTAAAAACCAGATGCCCACTCTTTTGTGCCAATCTTCCATCATACTTTAGAGCAGGGGCATCAAATGAGTTGGAGGGCCAAACTCATTCAGCAGATGCCCATGGGTTTTCATCAAAAAAACGATGGGCTCCACTATTGTCCAAGGTTAGTTTCTAAAAATATCACTTGCCACTGAACTCCAGTCTGCTACGCTTCCTCAGAATCCCTCCACTGGGACTTCTTTTCTCTCAGCTGCAAGTCACGCCATTTGCCACCTCCCAATCTATGTGTGCGCCCTCTTCTACTTTGGTGGCCCATGTGGCTGCTTGGATATTGAACTGTTTCTGATTGCCATGGGCTGTACTGGTGATCCCAAAGACTGCGGGCCCCTGTGTTTGACAGTGTGCTTAAGAGTGAACATGGAAGAGAAACATGCAATTTGGAGGAGCATGCTTGATGTTTAATGGCTCAAGAGACTAGTTAATAGCTTTAGTTTTTGCTTTAATGGTTTCTGGAAATCATCTCTTCACTTTTTCTTACATAAGTAAATTAGTATCATTTATTCCTATGGGAAAATTAAAACACTGCACTGGATGGAGGGGGGGAAAGAGACAGAAATGCAGGGAATAAAGGTGTGTAAGTCTGGAAGAAAACTGGGAACTTTGAGGGGAAATAGTTTTTTCCAAGCACTTAAATTTTTTCCAATAAAAATTGGAATTTTCAGGGATTCCTAGGGGAAGAAACACTCCTATAGAATACTTCTGTTTTGAAATGAGTGGAATTCTTTTTAAGGCAAGGTTTTACTCAGTCAAGTTGTATAGTCTGAAGACTTTTATTTAAGGAAATCTGCAGCATTAGATGACGATAATTTTGGTTATACTGCAAACATATTCAATACATTTTCAACCATATGTTGTTTAAACATGCCGAATGTTATCCATTCTATGTTATCCATTATATGCTATAATGTTATCGATTATATACTGATAACTGGTTCAGCGTTTTCAGTATTATGGTTATTACTTGATATCTGAATATTCTCCTTTAGTTCTGTTATAAATGTATGAGAGTGTTTCTTTCCAAATAACTAATTTTTTCTTTACTACATAATTTGTGCTTTCTGTATTAATCCCCTCCCCAATGTATATTTTTAAAGATTTCAGATTTTTCTTTAAACTTGGGGCATTTTTCAGGTTTGTTGAAAGATTTATCTTGCCTGTTTTATGGCTCCAGTCTCTGAATTTAAGTGTCGGTAGACGAGGCCACATTGAGAATTAAATATATTGATTGATGAAAAACTTACCAGTGTGGCATTTTCTGCAAAATTACTTGTGTAAGCTGGGTCATTTTGCCTCCATTTGCAGCATTACCACATCAGAGATCTGTCACCAGTTGAAGGCCAGTGGAAATGTGAAGCTCCGTTGGTAGAGCCCTACAGCTGCTATATCTGCAGTCCACATATTCCTGATACAATAATTTGACCATTGCAGGCAAGGTGACCCATTTAACTGTGACAACAGTCACAAGAATGTATCCACATGGGTAAATTCTTTTTTTAAACTGGTGTCTTATTTAAATGAGGTCTCTCTAGAAAATGGTGCAGTTAGCATTCTCCTTTGAGGAACTGTTTACATACAGCTAAGTTGATGTTTCAGCTCAGTGTATTTTTTGTTTAGTGAGGGAACTGGTTTAGCAGGATTTTATGTATGTTTCTGGGCTAAGCAGAGGAATGGTATTGCCTTTAGATCTACAACCAGTCTTTTGGATTACTAAAATATTTTGAATCTGAGTAACTATGCATTTTGGATTAAACACAGTTGATGTAGGCTTTAACTAAACTCCACACAGCCCTGAAATACTGGCTAAGGACACGTGGGCTGCTTTTTGAGCACATAGTAGGAGCTGCAGTCAGATATATCAGCAACCCTGTGGTTTGTTACGAGAATGAGCATTGGAAGTCCCCTAGTGCTCATGCTTTCCCCCTCCCTTCCCTCAAGCCCAGCTTGGATATTGAGCAATTTTTTGTTCATGCAAACCATAGTTCGTTATTGCTTCCAAGTTAGTATTGTTTGTTTCTTGCCTACAAACCAGGATTCCAAACCATCCTGTGTTAATCCTGGTTGCAATCCTGATCTGTAGGCATGAAATAATTGAATACCGGATCCGTTTCAAGGTATTAATCTTTAAAGCCCTATGTGGCCTGGGACCAACATATCTAAGGGACCATCTCCCCCCATATGTCCCTTGGAGAGCCTCCCTTGCTGAAACCTGCCCTATTACATTTGCCCATGTAAAGAGATGTTAGTATCTCTTCTGTTGTGACTCTTTGCTTTGCCATCTGTTAGTACTGCTGGAACCCTTATACATTAATGTATGATTTTGCCACCTTTTAAATGGTTTAAAGTAATTTATTGTGATAATCTGTGTTTAATGGTTCTGTAAAAAACTTTTGTTGTTACTCGTCCTGAGCCTGCTTGCGGGGAGGGCAGGATATAAATAAAATAAACTAAACCAGAGTTAGTGGTACAGAAGTTGCAACAAAGTACGTCTTGCTCTGAATTCAGAAGTCTTCAGTGTCTGAGTGATGTGTTAGTGGGAGGAGTAAAGAAGGAGGGATCAGGGCAGTCAGAGGACTTCAAAGGCTCATACTTGTAATAAAAAAATGTTGTTCTTGCTTTCTTGTAATGTAAGTTTGTTCTCCGGCTTGGTGGCAGGGGCCCCCTGAATTAAGAAAGCAGTGCTTTTAGGCTGCTGTAAATAGATCAGTTGTAAACCGAGTGTGGGATTATGCTGTTGCATTTTAAATCTGAGACAATATAATTTTTTTCTTAATTTTTTGGAAGTAGGTAGAATTATATGTGTGGGTCTCATGTAGCTTTTAGAAGCCTGCGTCCAGTATTTGCAAATACTGATCTCAGTTCACCTATTAATTTATTCCTGTATTCCTAGCACATATTTCACATAGATACATAGAAGGCATGTAGTTCAGCATAGCTAAGATCTTAAAAGTGTATTCTAATTACAGTTCACAAATGTGGACAGCTGCTTATGCCAGATAAAGCCCTGTGAACATTTGAGATAGATAGCATGACTGAGATAGTGGTTTTGTATGAATTGTTCTGTCATATTTTGTCAGTCTGTTTCCAGATCTTGAGAGAATAAAGTAAAACTGATAAATGTCCACTACATTTTCTTCTTGTCTTCAGCATTAAGAGGTGCCCGGAACCACCTGAGCCAGCTGAAGATAAGGACCAGCGAACTGTGACCATCAATCCTTGTCACATGGGAAAGGCATTCAAAGTCATGAATGAATTAAGGAGGTACCTCTTTTGAGTTATGATTTAATCACCTTGCACATGTCACACATTTGTTAGTTGGAACTGGTCGGTGTTTAAGCTTGAGTTTTACTTAAAAAATAGAAACAAAAGGTCGATTAAAGCGTTTGCTTTTGAGGCCTGATTGTTCCAATAGCGCTTAAAGTTTCCCATCACATGGGTATTCTCCACATCTGTATTTCCCCTTCATTGGGGCTGCTGAAGTTGGTGTGGAAAGAATTTCTGTGGTTCAGATAACCCCTTGGTGCAGAACTTTACTGTTATGACCAATGTTCCCTATAAGCTGTGGAGTCTTGTGAGCAAAAATTCTACTTTGTGAGCGACTGCCATTAAAGTTGTGAGCGAGCAGTTTGGCTACTGCAGAAATTAGTTTGCTCTGGAGCCCTCCTTCCTGAGCTAAGACAAAAATGTGCAAGCCAGAAGCTAAAAACCTGTGAGCTAGCTCACACTAACTCAGCTTAGAGGGAACACTGGTTATGACATAGAGGCCTGCCATGGGGTAATAGCAAGGAACTTTCAAAGGAAATACTTGAACTGAGCCAGAGTTCTGCTCTGAGTACTTCCAGTTCCCAAGGGCTTTTGAGTCAAGTTATGTGGAATATTTTAGCTGACTGCATTGTATTAGGGTTTTTTTTTTTGCTAGCTTAAGCCTCTTACAGATTTTTGACCTCTTCTTGGGTTCTGTCTGATTTTACCCATTTGCTGTTGACTGTTCAAATTCATTATGTATGCTATGTTTTGTTTGTTACATTTTTATTGTGAGCCATTTTGGAGCTTCTGTTTAAGCAACATATTTTTATTTTATTTAGTTAGTTCATTTGTACCCCGCCTTTTTCCTCAGTAGGGACCAAAGCAGCTTACTTCGCTCTGCTCTCCTTGATTTCATCCTCATAGGCTGAGGGTGTCTGACTGGCCCAAGGTAATCCAGCAAGTTTCCACAGGAGAGTGGGGATTCAAACTTGGGTCTCCTAGACCCTAGTCTGGCACTCATAACCACTGCACCACACAGGATGAACGCTTTCTGACAAATCACAATGGCTTACAGGTCAACTAATAGAAAGAAAAAGTACTATTATCAGTTTGGAGAATTTTGTGTTTTCTGCCCTTTGCATACAACTGTTGTTTCTTGGCTCAAAAACAAATAAACAAAAAACCCCTCACTCCTAGTAGCTTCTTCAGAATGATTTTTTTTGTCGGTAAGATAAGCCATTCTAAAACAAAATGGCTTTTTTCTTTTAACTTAGCACAAATCTCCACATAATCAAGGTTTCCAACACGGGAAACCTATTCAAAAGCAATAATGGAATATTACACCTACACCTAATTGCAGAGAGAGGGGGAAAATTGCCAGGGTGCACTCAATGCTGTTTGACTGCCAGCCCATTTATGTACCAATTAAAATGTTCATGTTAGCTTGCAGGACACACCATCATGCCTTCTGCCAAATGTGGGATGGTTAGTTTCCTATATCATTTTTGTAGTAAGTGAAGAGTGTTTTGTGTTTAGGCATCATGAAGTGTTGCTCGCTCCATATTTATTTATTTTTGAATTTATACCCTGCCTGGTTTATGGAGGTTTGTGGTCAATCGCAGATGATAAACATGACAGTTGAATCAAGGTAGAAACATTGTAAAGAAATAGAGATACCAACAGAATAATTGACGATGGAGCAGAAGGATGATTCTAAAAGAATTCCACAAAAACCCTGTAAAAAAGGACAGTTTAGCAAGCCCTGCAAAATTGTAGCAGTGAAGGTACTTTCAGCTCATCTTCTGGCTGCTGATTCCAAAGCACTGGAACTGCTCATTGAAAAGATACTTGCCCTTTCCATAGGTGTGCAGATTGACAGGGTATGGTATGGTCTGGAAATGTATTAAGATGCTGAGCAATGAGAGGTGATTTCATATAAACAAGTGTATGTGTTTATATACACGCACACAAGTCTGTCTGGATTGCACAAAATGTGTACATGCTAAGCTCCACATAAAATCTTCGTATACAGAAACCTCGGAAGCATGAAACAAGAGTACATTATGTATCTGGATAGGGAAAATTTCCTCTGCTTCTGGATAAAGTAAAAAATCACTTTGCCAGTTTGGTGTAGTGATTAAGGGTGGTGTACTCTAATCTGGAGAAGTGGGTTTAAGAACATAAGAGACGCCAATATTGGATCAGGCCAAAGGCCCATCCAGTCTAACACTCTGTATCACACAGTGGCCAGAAATACCAGTGCCATCAGGAGGTCCACCAGTGGGGGCAGGACATTAGAAGCCCTCCCACTGTTGACATTAGAAGCCCTTCCCCACACCTCCACATGAAGCCGGCTGGGTGACCCTGGGTCAGTCACAGTTCTCTCAAAGCTGTTCTCTCGGGAGCAGTTCTCTCAGAGCTCTTAGCCCCACCTACCTCACAGGGTGTCTGTTGTGGGGACAGGAAGGGAAGATGATTGTAAGCTGCTTTGAGACTACGAGTGAAGGGCAGGTATCCAACTCTTCTTCATTTTCTTAAAGTAAGAGGAGTCTCTCTGTAGAGGCCTAGTCATAAAAAACTTATCAAAATGATATTGTCAAATGAGGGATTGACTATATCCACCTAAATTTTGCATTTATGGGTATGTACCTACCTCAACTTCAGAGAGTTTGTGAATGCTTCCACAACATCAGTTAGTTAACACCTGCCATGGTTTAAAAACTTGTGTGTTTACGCCAGCAGTATGGTTACACTCAGGTAGAAAGTAGTTTTTTTTCCTTTATAAGAGTTCCTATGTTTGTTTAAAAACAAGAAAAAAAAAACCAAACAAAAACTAGACATACTTTGATTGGCAGTGGGGTTGCCTCTCCAGCTATTAAATGTTCTTTGGAAAATTAAAAAAAAAGTTTCCAGCCACAATGATTGTGATCAATGTGTATGAAGTGGGAGCTAGTTTACACTGTGACCGTGTGAATGTTAACCTTGATAGAATGGGATTAGTTTAATCTGTGCACAATGAAAACTAGTTTTTTGTCTGTCTTGACTTCAGAAGGGAATATTGAACAGGTAGTGGCAATTTGTGCTGAACAGTAGTGCCTGTTGCCCTGGCTATGGCATAGTCAGACCTATACTCCCGCTCGTCTTCTTCACATTGTGGTGCTGCCTGCTCTGTGGCTCAGGAAAAGAGGTGAAACTGCACCAGTGCTCCAGAGGGCTGTTTACCTACTATAGCAAGGGTCCCCAGTCCTGTGGGCACCATGGTGCCTACTAGTACCTTTCCTGGCACCTGCCAAATGTTTTTAGAAAGTGTGCAGGGCCAGGTGATTGATGTCTTTGGTATAATACAGACAGTGGCTCTATGTAAAGTACTTTACCTGTGCAAATAGCTGAGTGATATTCTAAAAACACTGTGGGACTTGATGCGGACTAAGCATGATAGGGCTTCATAGCTGAAGTGCTAAATGCACCTAAGTGGAATTTCAGTAGAAGTCATCAATCTGAATGCTTTCTTTAATATAATTCAGGTGGAGGTGGACAATAACATCACCACATCACATTTTGTTCACTTTTCCAAAAGCATTTCTGTTCCTATCAAAATCTGGTCAGAATCTCTCTCTCTCACTATACACCTGTGCAAGATCTCTCCAGCCCTTCTACTTCAGCTATTATTGTTGCAAGTAATAGTGCAGGTTAAAAATGGCTGGGCTCATGAGAGAAGGGGATATAGCCAAGAGAAGCAGCGTTTTCCTTTCCCTTTTGCACAAGTTGTTATCTGCCTGCAAAATGAAGACAGATATTGCCAGGTGAGGGTTTCTTATGTAGCTCAATATGTATATTTAAGTCTCTGTGCATGCAAGAAAATGTTTTTAACAATCCGTTAATTTGAAAAGGCATCCAGTTGAACAGAGCTTCTTCCTGCAGTGTTGAAGAAGACTTACTATCAGAGTTATGCATAACCTCGCTTCTTGACATTTTGTGGTTTGCTCTGCCTCCTGTAGAGCTCATTTTGTGATTGCACTGATTAGAGATGCATGGAGGCTACGAAGTTTGGGGACCCCTGTACATCACGGTGTGGCGTTATACATTTGACTTGTGCACACTGAAGTTTGGCCCTGACCAGAGTATAGCATTCTGCAGAGGTAGTTGTCGTGTTCCTCCTTGGTTAGTCTATCAGAAAATCTCTTTAGATAGTATAGTCATGGTGTGGAAGCCACCATGGGTTCACCTCATTGCATTGCTTGTATGTTGCTGCCATGTGGATGGAACCCGTTATGCATTATCGTTAGTTACCACTGAATGGCTGTGCCCAGTCCTGCCTGGAAGATCCTAGCCTGGTAAAGGCTTGTGCAGTTTGCTCCACCCACATGGTGATAGGACTTTAAATATTACAGCAGTGCTGTGGGGTCATCACATAGAACAGCGGTTCCAGTGGTGCTGCTGTAATATCTAAAGGGCACCAGAGTTCTGTGGGGAAAAATGAAGCATCCTGCTCATTCCTCATTCTGCTGAAGTAGAAAGAACTTCCACTTCTGCTGGCACAATTCATGAGGAAGTGATTGTAGAGTTGTTTGTGTGCCTGAACACTTGGTTGGTTCAGTTATGTATAAGATGCATTGGGTTGGTACAATATTAGATTATTCCTTTTGTGTGTGGTAGGGGATAACGGGGGAGAGAGTGACAGAGCAGCTCTCAGTGGAAGCTAATGGCTTGCATTGTGTGTGATGCTTTTCTGAACATACCAGACTACAGCTGCCCTTAAGCCTCTGTTGTCTCTTTACTTGTGGGCTTGTAGAGGATTTATGCTTTCAGCTATCTGCTACAATGCTGTTGAATTGTTGTAGAATTAAATTGTGGCATTTGCGTTAGAGCCTTGAACTGGTTTGCTTTTAGCCAAGGCAATGTTCCATGGAAACATTAGGTATTATGACAAGGGGAGACCAGTGAGGACATATGTTGGTTAGGGACAGAAGGTGGGATAAGGTTGTATAAATAACAGTGGGTGCTACTGCCTGCTAAGTTAGTCTGGGGTTCCTGGTATGGCTGATAGGCTGCCATCGTGGCCATGATTCTCTGCATCTTCCCCCTAACAAAGGGTAGAAGCAGCACAGGTAGCCCTTGGTTAGGCTGGAGTAAGTAGGTGGCTTGCTCAAGTGATGAACCTCCTCAGTGATGAGGAAAAGCAGGAGACTTCAGCTCCTTCACAGCTTGACCAACACTGCCCTTTCTGGCCCTCTGGCGTTCTATAGTCAGTGCGTGTATGGTACAGGCTTGGCTGCTGGGGTAGTTCTGATGGCCTGGTGTGAGTACAGAGGTGCTGGCTATGCACTGAATTTGTGTTTTATTGTATTTTAACTTTTAATGTAAGCCACCATGAGCCTGCTTTGGCAGGAAGGGTGGGATACAAATTGAATAAAATAAATAAAATAAATAAAAACGTTCTGGGCAAATTGTGGTCCTGGCAGGTATGAATGGAAGGGAAGGAAAGGCAAATGGGGAGGGAAAGGAGATAGCTTGTTTGGCTGCTAGCCTCCTCTGACTCAGTGGTCACTGTATCTGCTGCTGGGACAGTTCAGGATGTCTTAAATTAAGCGGCAGCAGCAAGTCCCCTTTGTGCAACAACTCCATATAGATAATGATTTGATTTGATTTATTAGACTTCTATCCCACCCTCCCAGCTGAAGCCAGCTCAGAGAGTGCACAGAGAGGGACCCAAACAAAACGTGGTGATACTGCTGCTACTACCCACCTAGTCCCTTCACCGTCTCCTGCCTTTCAAGAGGCGGCCAAGGCAGCAAGGGACTTCCTAGCGCCATGAAGCACTCCACAGCACCACATTTCCCTGGGCCAAAGCAACTGACTAATTTCCTCCTCCTTACTCCCACTGTTAGGGCATGTGGCCTAGTTGCAGGTTTGAGGACAGTCTTGAAGGCTTAAAACTAGTAAGAGTAGGTTTGGGGTATTTTGTGAAAAGGGTCTGCTGAAAGAAGAGCTCTCTATAGCATACCAAATGAAAAAGAACTCTTCCCCTAATCCCATTCAAATTTTAAAAATTGAAAATAAATAATGGAGTATTACTGGTATCAAGACACCTGCATTTAATTGCAGAGGAGAAACCTTGTGCAGAAGCTGCAGATACACCTCTGTCTGTCTGTCTGTCTGTCTCTCCACCAAAATGGCCTGTTATACACTTGGTTCTTAAATTTACTCATTGCAATAAAATTCACAAGAGCGTATCCTGAAATTTCCGTTAGCAGGCGTGCGGTCTGTTAAAGCCAAGTGGAATGGGTTTCGGAGCCTGTCTTTTAAAGAGTGCTTTATTTAATAGCCACCATGAACTTAACTGCTTCTGCAAAGCAAAGTTTTGCAGTTTTATGCATGTTATAGGATTCTTTATTTCTTGGTGTAAGTCAATTTGTGTACTAGCTTCAGTTTGACCCTGTGAACACGGTGAGATAACCCAGTGGCCCTTCAGAAGTGAAGCAGGTCTGGGGACTGGTGAGTGCCTGGATGGGAAACCCTCCTTCTGTCAGTGGAACGTAACTTCCCTGCCTCCCCCTTCCTGCTGCAGCAGAGTGAACTCCTGAAAATGTTGCGGGGCAGAGGGTCCTCAGGAACAGCGTGGAGTATCTGTGGGGCAGCAATCTGTGGTAGGAGGGAGAAATCAATTAAAAAAATGCTCCCCATTCTTCCACTGGTGGAAAATGACCTTTGGCCTCAACCCAGAATTAGTCAAAGAATAACAAAATGTCCCTAGCCCTTTTCTCTCCCCTCTCTGTTTTGCATATGTATTTAGATCTAGAAACAGTAATTTTATACTGCGTATCATGGAATCTTTATTTTTGGATTGCTAAAGTCATTTGCTCTTCAGATATCCTGATTGTTTCTCCCCAGGTAACCAATATTGTCATAACATATAAGAAATGGGCTTTTTAATGAAATTGTTCTAAGTCACACAGTTGAGAGAGTCCTAGAGACAGTATTAAAATACATTTGTCCATCACAATCATTAATGCCGACAATTGGAGGAGGATTCGACTGTCTTTTGAAACTACCAATAAGAGTTTTATATTCCTTTCCTGTTGGTTTTACTCCATACTCCTGTTATAATAAATTTGAGTAACCATGCTGTTTCATATAATTATTTATACAACAGAAGACGCATCCCAAGTTCTCAATAATGAAAGATTTGACTTTGTCTCTCCCTCATCCAGTTCTCTGTAAGAGGTTTACATTTTAAATTTCTACTCACCTCATTTGAAGGAATTACAGATGACGACATCACTTTCAAACGAGATAATTGCACAAGTGACTTTGTTTTCATGGATAGCACTATGTTGTCAGAAGTGTGCTTTATAGGAATCCCGGTGTAAGAACACTTTCCAAAACTGTGATTGTTGGTGTCTCCACAGCAAGCGGCTTCTCTGCGATGTGGTGATTGTTGCTGAAGATGTTGAGATTGAAGCCCATCGTATTGTCCTAGCAGCCTGCAGTCCTTATTTCTGTGCAATGTTTACAGGTAACCTCGTACCACTATTGCTTTAAGATATGTATTTAGTACCAGTGTTTTGCTTGGTGCTGCTACTAGTGGGAGATGCAACTTTTGAGATACAGCTCCATTTTCTTTGAATCATTATCCATTACAGTTGGAGTTAGAGGCTTATGGTTGTATGGAAGTGTTCCTCTGGAAAGGAACAAACATAAGATTTATGGCTGCACAAGCTAACGTTCATTAGCATTTCTAATTATCAGTTATTGTGGAGTGGTTCATGCAACAGATCAGGCAAATTTAAGTTATGTCTTGCAGATCTTTTGTTTTGAACATTTACAGTCAAATTTGCTCAATCTCTGTGACGGGTTTTTTCACATGAGCATCTCACGTTAAAAGATGCCAAGTTGAATGATACAATTCAGCCTTGTTGTGTTTGCTGTAAGTGGACCTTATGAATTCTACTGAAAGAGAACATAAAGAACAACATGAAGCATAACCCAGATCTGTGGAGCAAGTGTTGGGCAGACAGTATAAAATCAACCTTTATGTAAAAAGACATAGCTTCAGCGGTATGGGGAATTGTCAAAAATTGCCACCCCCTGTTAAGAAAACTTAAGTTTTCTGAACTACGTGGTTAGATACTGGCTGATATCTTTTACCATTGAAAGTTTGCTTTTCTGGTAAGTTCTGGTTTTTCTATAACCAGTAAACAGTACAGTTGCTCCAGATTTTAGTGAGGGTATCTCATAACATAAGAACATAAGAGAAGCCAGTGTTGGATCAGGCCAATGGCCCATCCAGTCCAACATTCCATCACACAGTGGCCAAAAAATACCAGGTGCCATCAGGAGGTCCACCAGTGGGGTCAGGACACTAGAAGCCCTCCCACTGTTGCCCAGGCACCAAGAATACAGTGCGTCACTTGCCCCAGTTCCTATCTATACCTTGTGGCTAATAGCTACCGATGGACCTCTGCTCCATATGCTTATCTAATTCCCTCTTGAAGCTGTCCATGCTTGTAGCTACCACCACCTCCTGTGGCAGTGAATTCCATTTATTAATCACTCTTTGGGTGAAGAAGTACTTCCTTTTATCTGTTCTAACCTGACTGCTCAGCAATTTCATTGAGTGCCCACGAGTTCTTGTATTGTAAGAAAGGGAGAAAAGTATTTCTTTCTCTACCTGCTCTATCCCATGCAGAATCTTGTTAACCTTGATCATGTCAGCACTCAGCCATCGTTTCTCCAAGCTAAAGAGCCCCAAGCGCTTTAACCTTTCCTCATAGGGAAAGTGATACTGGCTGATTTGTTTTCAGTTCCCTTCCTAATATTCTCCATCATAGCGTTGGCCTTTTTTATTGCAGTTGCACACTGTCTAGACATTTTCATTGAGTTATTTACTATGACTCCAAGATCTCTCTCTTGGTCAGTCTCTGCCAGTTCGGACCCCATCAATGTGTATTTATATTTAGGATTTTGGCTCCAATGTGCATCACTTTGCACTTGGCCACACTGAACCCCATTTGCCACATTGACGCCCACTCTCCTATCCTCGACAGATCCCTTTGGAGTGCCTCACAATCCTCCCTGGTTGCCACCACCCTGAACAACTTCGTGTCACCTGCAAATTTAGCCACTTCACTGCTGACTCCCAACTCCAAATCATTAATAAACAAGTTAAAAAGCATCGGACCAAGTACTGATCCCTGCAGTACCCCACTGCTTACTACCCTCCACTGAGAAAATTTCCCATTTATACTCACTCTCTGTTTCTTATTAATTAGCCAGTTTTTGATCCACAAGAGGACTTTTATCCCATGACTATTGAGCTTACTTAGGAGCCTTTGATGAGGAACTTTATCAAAAGCTTTCTGGAAGTCAAGGCAAACAGCATCTATTGGGTCCCCCTTGTCCACATGTTTGTTCACTCCCTCAAAAAACACTAACAGGTTAGTGAGAGAAGATCTTCCCTTACAGAACCCATGCTGAGTCTGCCTCAATAGTTTTTGTTCATCAGTGTGCCTACTACGGTAATTCTTTCCTTAATAACAGTTTCCACCAACTTACCCGGTATCTCAGATTGTATTGCAGATAAAATAGAAAATTCTTGCGGCTTACGCTTTCATGGCCTAGTGCCATGAGCCCTTTTCATCAGATGTATTAAGTATGCACTCAGTTGGTAGATATATATATTGGTATATATTGTCAGAAGTATGCCATTTGGTATTGTGCCCTTTGGTAGAGACAGGGCCTTTGCAATAATAGCACCCTGCCTTTTTGGAATACTCTCTCTCCTCCTTGATGCTTGCCTAGTGCCTTCTTTACTTTTATTTCAGACGTCAGGCTAAAATCATCTTTTTACCTAGGCTTTTAATTAGGAGGGGTTATCTTATAGGGGTTTTTTTTGTATTTTTGCGTGTGTGTGCGCGTGCCTGTTCCTGGAAGTCCTGGCAACTCCTACTGGGGCATGGAGGACGTTCAGAGAAGTGTCTTGATAGCCTGCCTCTGGCCTCCCGGCCCTGGTATTCTCTGGAGGTCTCCCATCCATGTACTTGCCAGGGTCAGTCCTGCTTAGTCTTCGAGATCTGAGAAGATCGGGCTTGCCCGGGCTATCCAGGTCAGGGCTATCTTATCAGTTTTTAATGGTCTGCCTTTGTTTAATGGATAGTTTTAATGTTGCTTGTGTTTTTAATGTTGTAGTCTTTAATTGTAAGCTGCCTTGAGCAGGGCTCTGAAGCAGCAGCATATAAATATTCTAAATAAATAAGTATGAGAGGCAGCCCAAATGTATTTGGACTTTGTATAGAGATGCCACGATCTGTACCTTGTGCGTGGCATAACCTCTTGCTCCCATTGTTTACGACTTTTTGCCTCTGTAGTACGCCACCTGGAAACACAATTCATGTGTTTGATGTAGTAGACTGTTGTCCACTAAAGTTTGTCCCAGTAAGTTTATTAGACAAATAGGAAGATATGCACACATGGCAAAGTACAGGTGTGAATTTATCATGTGTGACAAACCTCATATGGGATTCAAGAGTTGTCAGCAAAACAGTGAATTACCTGTAGGAAACCTGTCCTGTTTGAAGTGGCCCTTAGACAGAAGAAGAAACTAGTTTAAAGCATGTTAGAGGGCTAAACTACACAATACATTTTAAAGAAGTCAGACCAGGGCAAAAAGTCTTTTTGACTTGGGAAAATGGCATGGGGGTGGAGCTGGAACACCTCCTTTCCCTGGTGCCATGGTCTCGATCCGAACTGGGCTCTGTAGTGCTTGGGGGGAAGTAAGTTTCCTGCAGAGGAAAGTGACCTGACTCACTAAACAATGTATTGTGTCATTTGCCCCTAATCCACACTTTGCTTCTACCTGTTTGGCCTCTATGAAAATAACATGCAGGCAACACCTGTGTGGCTACTGGTAGCCTGTAGGTAGAATCCTCTACCCAGATGCCACTGTCAGGTTCTCAATGGGTGGGTTTTAAAAAAAATTAATTAAACTTTTATTGATAACACGTAATGAGTAACATACATAGCTGAGAAATAACCAATACAATACAACACAGTATAATGCAACTACACAGCGTTGTTGTTGTTCAGTCGCACAGTCGAGTCTGACTCTTCGCGATCCCATGGCCCAGATCCCGCCAGGCCTTCCTGTCTTCCGCCGTCCTCTGAAGTTGGCTCAACTTCATGTTAGTTGCATCTATGACACTGTCTAACCATCTCATCCTTTGCCATCCCCATCTTCTTTGACCTTCAATCTTTCCCTGCATCAGGGTCTTCTCCAGTGAGTGCTCCCTTCTCATTTGGTGGCCAAAATACTTGAGCTTCAGTTTCATTATCTGGCCTTCCAGGGAACAGTCAGGGTTGTTTTCTTTTAGGATTGACTGATTTGATCGTCTTGCAGTCCAAGGGACTCTCAAGAGGCTTCTCCAGCACCATAGTTCAAAAGAATCTATTCTTCGGCGCTCGGCCTTCCTTATAGTTCAACTCTCGCAGCCATACATGACTACTGGGAATACCATTGCTTTGACCATGTGGACATTTGTTGGCAGGGTGATATCTCTACTTTTTATCATGCTGTTTAGGTGCGCCATCGCTTTCCTCCCAAGGAGCAGGCATCTTTTAATTTCATGGCTGCTGTCACAGTCTGCGGTGATCTGGGATCCCAGGAACGTGAAGTCTGTCACCACTTCCACGACTTCCCCTTCTATTTGCCAAAGAGTGATGGGGCCGGATGCCATGATCTTAGTTTTTTTGATGTTGAGCTTCAAACCCTCTTTTGCGCACTCCTCTTTTAGAGTTTAACTGCTTGTGTTTGAATAGGAACTGATCTAGTTGAGAGAATGTGAGATTTCTATATACGTCTCCATTGATCTTCTGAAAGTGTCTTACCAAGATCTTTATGCCAAGCTTTCTGCGAGGGTGTTAGGCTACGTTGGGGCATATTCAAAATAAATTTGTATATCACTGAGATTAAGCCTTTTTTTTTTTTTGGAAAGTTTGAGGCTAAAAGCCTCTCGAAAAAGTTTAATGGATTACCTAGATTTAAAGTATGTTTTGATGAGAAAAAGAGATGTGATATTTGTAAATATTCATACCATGGAAGTGAATTTTTTCCAGATTTTCAAGTGATGCTTTCTCTAAAAGTTTACCCTGCTTAATTATGTCTACATATCTAATCAGATTAGAGGATTTCCATCTTTTAAACGAGTCTACCTTGTAGCCTGGTTGGAACCACTGTTGCCCCCAAATAGTGGTAAGTAAGGATCCTTGAGGCACCAAATGTGAGGTGAGAGCAGAAGAGATTGGCGTGTAATTCTCCGTTTCCCCCACTGGTACTCTATATGAAGATGTGGTAGTAACAGCCACATTCATGCTCGCTGTGTTAGGAAGGATTATGTTGGAAAGGGAAGGGGATAGTTAAGTGCAGTCATGCAAGCATCTTCTGTGCTTCTGGATTAGCAGGAAGCATCAATCCTGTGTCGTTGCCAAGCAATAGTTCACATGACTGCACATTTCCCCCTTAGCTTTCCATTTCCCTCTAAGCTTTGGCACCATGAATGTAGCTGAAAAGGGAAACAGCTTTTGCCGCATCACTGTGGGAACAAGGAGCATTGCCCCCAACTCTGCCATCTAAGGGAGGAAAGGGAATGTGGAAGAAAAGATTGACCCTGCAGCAGTTCAGTGTTTGGGCTGGGCCAGTTCAGTGCTGATTTAGTCGCTGACTTAATGAAGACTAGAATCAAGAAGGTTTCATACTCAGTTTGCCCAAAGTACAGCTTCTTAGCTAATGTATGAATGCTTCAAATACACAAATAACTCAGCCTTGCTTGATATTCTCTCTCTCATAGCCAGCAAAAATAAACGTGTGATCTTAGACGCCCACCCTCAAGCTGCTGCCTCCATGAATTAGCAACCTGTGTAGTTTTAGATAAGATTGCAGATTATTTTTTTTCATAATGCAATTGTAGCTGTTGTATTTCAGTCTAGTCCCTTTATCTAGGGGCCTATGTATCCCTGGGCTGGATCCAGAGGAAAAGCTTGTGGAAGGATTCGCTCCACGTTAAGGTGGCTGGGTGACCTTGGGCCAGTCACAGTTCTTTCAGAGCTCTCTCAGACCCTAAAAACAAGTCTAGCTCGCCGCTAGCATAACACTAAGAGCTAGAACTGCAGCTGCCAGATAATCTTTGGATCTCCTAGCTATTCTACACACAATGCCTTACGATAATTAATTAATTAATTCGGAAATTTTCTGTGATGGTTTGCGGACCTTTCTGAACAGTACGCACCACAGTATAAAGGGCTCCAATAAGGAAGGGGGAACTGGATGAGATCTCTTTCTTCTTTGACACCTTATTGCAGTATCTCATGTTGGGGCACGCTTTGTTAAAGAGAATCTCTTAACCCTCAGAGAACATTTTCAGGACAAGCAGAAGACTGTTGAGGGAAGGTAGGGGGAGGCCAACTCCTTCCATGAGGATTTCCATGTAGAGATGAATATTGAGTACAGAACTCAGCATCTGTAGCATCAGCATTCATTTTCTATTTATGGAGAAACTTCCTGCACCTAAAAACTATGAATTTAGGCTTGAGATTGTGTGGCCAATGCCTGATAGAACCTGAGAAGCCAACCATTGGATGGGAATTGGGCTTGAGCAATATGTCTACTAATGCAGGACTTCCACACCATGTGCAATACTTTGTCTCTGTCAGGCTTAGCAGAAACAAATTAAATTATACAAAGGGCAAATATCTGCTCATAAATTATACAGGGGGTAGAATTCTTTTGTGGTGCAGAATTTTGATTATTTTTCTCTTCTTTTACACACAGTATGCACAGCCCTTGCTGGCATCCACCAGAGTGTTCCACATAGAAGCTCTTGGCTGCAAAATAAAGGACCTTCAGAAGTCTTCAGGGGTTTAACTAGTTGAGAGGCGAGATATCAGAGATCGGATCTCTTGATATCTTTAGTTTCATTTAAAAGCAGCCACGAGGGAGCCCAATTTGGAATGGAGCCACAATGGTGGAACAGACAGACGGTTTCTTTCTCCCCCCCCCCCCCCCATGTTAAAATTTCTTTGTCAGGGTAAGCCCTAGAATGAATATGAGGTGGAAAGTAAATAGTGGGTCTTATAAATGTAGCATGATCTCATTATTCAGACTGCTTAGGAGATATCCATAATGCCTGAAAAATCAGATGTTCAGAGAACTGGTTACATTGCCCATGTAGACAAATACGGGCTTAACGAAAAATTCAAATAACAGAATGAGGCATTCTGTTGTACTTCTGTCCAAGATCTAGTTATGTGTGTATTACAAATAGAGCGGCTTATCGATGTTACGTAATCCTTTCTATAGCAGTTTGTGGCATGCAAGCAGGATTCTATTCTTGCCGTCCAGCATCTGGAAAATATGCAGCCAGCATATTCTGCAGGCTTCAGAATCAAAGGATGGGACTTGCAGTAGTTAAGGGGAAGGGTGGACAGCTGTCATTAAATAGTGGCATCGATCCTGCTCTCTAGACATGAAGAAAGCACAAAGCCATGTACAAAGGCTGGAGGAATGCTGCAGAATAACCATGATCACTTACAGTGAGAAAATGCAGTGTGGGTGGGTGAGCACTTTCAAGTCCATAATCTGCTTTCCGCAAAACGGCTTCTTTGGAATGTTCTCCTTCAGATGACCCTAACGCAAGATTGAGCAAAGCTCAGTATCTTATGAAGTGTTCCGGGTTAGTGGCAGAATAAAAAAACTCAGTATTATATGAACTTGCAACTTCCCATATGATGCTTCCCTCCATTTTTTTCACATGTATAAAAATAGAAGCCATCTCCCCCTAAATAAAAGCATAATAGTGTGCTAAAGGATACCCTAGACCTATGCAGACGTTGTCATCAGGTAAGCACTCCCCACGTAGAGAGGGAGAGTGGGCATGAATATGCAGGCCCTGTCCCTTGCCTCCACGTGATCTCCAAGTGGTCTGCATGGGCCAGACACATGGAGGAAGTGACTGTACACACCCTCTCCCTCCGGTCAACGATATTCCAGCATCATTTACAGAGAAAGTGTGCCTGTGCAGGCACCTTGTGTGTGCAATCTGTATAAACCACTCAGGTAGAATGGAGGCAGTGGATGGTGCCCACACTCTTGTCCCCGCTCTCCCACCCCATGCTGTGAGCACCCACACAATCTGCATAAGGCTTCTATGCACTTCACATTGCCTGCGTACATACTCCAGGCTGTCCCTTACCTAGGCCTCCTGTTTTGGAGGCTGCTGTTGCAGAATACAGAGCCTGAAGAACTTTCCATTGTTCAGAATGAGCATGCTACTATATAAAATATGTGTGCTGGATCTTAAGAGTAGCACCATTATCGGTTCCTCTTCTTCGTAGTGAAGGTTTCTTCAAAGAGAGATCCTATTGAAAGAGTGCAAGCTAGCCACCTCTTCACTTCTGTTGCTTTTAAGAATGTAGAGAAGAGAACCCAGCCCCTGTCTACTTTTCTTTGTGGAAAAATGTGAAAATATCTCTATATATCTATATATTTAAAATGTAGTATATTTCATGTTCTGTGTGGTAAGTGGTTCCTTTTTTTTGTATTTCTATTTGTTTTTATTGTTTTTTTCAATTATAAAACAACAACAATAACATTCAAACATAAGAAATAAGCACAAAACAGTAAAGAGTAGAAGTATCTACATCTTAAATTACAGCATTAATAATAACACACAATATCAAATATAGTATTAAGAGAACTTCAAAAGTGAGCAAACTGTTTAAATATAAGTTTTTTGGTTCTTTTGCTATTGTATTAAGATAAGTTAAAACAGGGAGTGGTTCTCATTTCTGCTCAGTTCACTGAGCTGTAACAAGCCCTGAGGCAGAAAAGGTGGCACTGACAGACTTGGGAGTGTTTCTTAGACTTGACAAAATGGAGTTTGTTTAGGTCATTCTGAAGGTGGTGCTAGAAAGAGGGTTGATCGGAACATTCATGCTGTGCATACAGAGAGGTAAGGGTAGAAGGGATAAGTATGTTTTGTTGCTTTGTTTTAGGAGATATGACTGAAAGTAAAGCAAAGAAGATTGAAATCAAAGATGTCGATGGGCTGACATTAAGTAAGCTGATTGATTACATCTATACAGCTGAGATAGAAGTGACAGAAGAGAACGTTCAGGTGAGGAGATCTTTAAAAGCTTACCTGGCAATCAAAATTAAAGGTCTGTATGGGTTTGCTTGGATTCTAAGAGGATACTTCATCATTGTGTACTGCAAAACACTTTTGAAATATGTCTTTCATTTTTGGTAATCTTCAGGTATGCTGTCAACTAATGCCAGAGTTGATACTGAACACACAAAGCTGCCTTGTTCCAGGTATTTTCCATTCTGAGTGGCAATGGTTCTCCAAGGTCTCAGGCAGAGGAGTGTTTTCCATCTGGGGATGTCAGGGATTGAATTTGGGAATTTTTGCATGCAGTGTGTGTTCTGCCATAGACCTATGGCCCTTCTCCTGATGTTACAGCTAGATCCTCCAAACTTCATAGTTTTGGAACCTATACATATAGTGATTTATGCTTTCAAAGCCACCTAATTGATACATAATTTCATATTTGATCAAAATGGATACTGACTGTTAGAATAAATAACATTTCAGTAATTAAGCACCAGCGATAACATCTATTTTCTTATATAATTTCACTATCCCCCTGCAATTTGGAAGTGTGTAGTGTAAAACTTAAATGAAATAGTTTCATTTCATTTAAACATGCTCAGTCATCTGGAAGAGTTGGATAGGAATTAGGAGGGATGAAAGCAACAGAATTCAAATTAATGTTTAATACTATAGCTATTAAAATGTAATATTATTTTGACTGGTTTAGATTTTATTTGTAATAGCCTATGTCACTTAAGGGAATTGTCTACTCCTTTGGGGAAAATAATATGAGACCTAGCAGCTTCTGGATCTTTCCACTCTGAGTGCCTGCTTTGCACGCCTAAGTCCCCAGGTTTGATTCTTAGCATCTTAAAGGATTTTAGATAGCAGACAAGGGAGAAAGCCAGGAGAATTGCCACCAACCACTGTAGACAATGGACCAGTGCTCTATGGCAGCTCTTCATATCTTTTAGCAGTCTTAAAGTGGATATGTTGGATTTTGTGAAAGTTATAGCAGGTGAAGTGTTAAAGCTTCTCTCCTCTCTCATTACATTTCTCACAATATATCATCCGGGGATTTGGAATGAGGTGCCACCACTGTGAATTACCTGCTTGTTGTAATCAATGGTGCTAAATTGCACTTAATTTTTGGAGTCCATTTTGTAAGACATTAAAGTTGTTCATAGATACTTGATGTAAAGCGAACAATCATTATTAGTTTCAGTTAATCTGTTCTAGGGATCAGTTCTAGCTCTGGAAACCCATAGCTTAATTAATTTTCTGTGTTTTATTGTTGCCTGCTGGGGTTGCAATGCTCTCTGAGAAAGTTACTTATTTGTAATATTCCCGTGTGATCCAGCTGGGTTGGTTTTTTCTTGCTGGAATAGTACAGTGAATGTACCCTAGTTAGAATAGTACAGTGAAAGAACCTTAGGGCATGCTGCACTTTTACTGCTGTTCTCTTGGGATGCAGTGAGCTAAGGCAGCGGTCAAACACATTTGCTCCTTACTCAGACACTGTATTATGAGTATTTTTCTCATATTTCTCTGGGTCATTTCCAGCAGAATAAAAGTAATAGTTTGTCATGGTGGAAGAAGCAAAATTAATATCCATCAACCATGAAATCTAAAACAGAAGGCAATTAGACGACCATACACTTTTTTTTCTGTCAGAGGCCTTTTTACCTTTTCTTTAACAAGAATGTGAACGGAGCGCTCTAACTGGAAAGCCCATGTCAGCGCCTGAGGCCGTTCTTCTCGATGCATTTGCTTGGTACACTGGGGTGGTAGGGGCTTTACACTACTCGCATGTCACATACAGATATTACTTTTGTTCTTCAGATGGCTGTCTTTAGCAGAAAAGTTTATTGGCAAATTGGGTGTTCAGCATGTCACTCCTTTCCCGTTAATGTATCAGTGGAGCTCATTAAGAGCAATGCTTTTATAATGGCTGGTTGCTATGACCATTCTGACTTCATGTCACAGGCAAGAGAGCTACAGCGATTCCATGTTCAGTTATAGAACATGGCCATTATTGTATGACATTTGAGTGAGTAAAGCTAATAAGCAATGGCTGTTTAGCAAATATACACAATTATTTATTTCATGATGTGAGTTCTGGAGAGAACTGTACATGTGAAGCAACAGATCTCGGTCAACATTTTTATCCTGTCCTTCCTCCAAGGAGCTCAAGATGTCATACACGATTCTTCCCACATCCGTTTTATTCTCTCAGTAACTCACAGAGGTAGGCTGGGCTGAGAGCAAGTGACTGGCCCAAGTCCATCCAGTCTTCCTAGTTCGACACTCTAACCTTTACACCACATTGCCTCTATACCACAAAGGGCTGTATGTTACATTGGGGGAAAAGGCATCATTGGGATGAATGGCTAAATGTAGTAAAATCAAAACACTGTGGGATTATGAGCATTGGTTTATTGAGTACAGGAAAAGATCAAAATGTGCAAAGAGAAACAACATTCTATTGTAGTCCTTCCTTGTTTGGAAACACCAGCTATTGCCTGCTTTCTAGGGAAATCTGAGGATTTAGCTGAATTTGCTTTGATGTACATAAGCAGTACTTGTTCTGCTCCTGATGGCATGTTTATTTTCCTTGGTAGAAAAGTGGAGGAGAAATATCCAAAGGACAATTGCATCCCGTGATGCTTCAGAACCAGTAACACATTGTCTGTTTTGTTGTCTCTGTTTAAAGAATGGTGTAGCAAGTTGCAATGGGTTATTTTGTGGAGAATGAAGTCTACCACTTCAACTGGTGACTCATGCTTTCCTTTCTCTGCCCATCAGGTATTGTTGCCCGCAGCTAGCCTACTGCAATTAATGGATGTCCGACAAAACTGTTGCGATTTTCTTCAGTCTCAGCTGCATCCCACAAATTGCCTTGGAATCCGGGCCTTTGCAGATGTGCATACTTGCACTGAACTACTGCAACAGGCCAACGCCTATGCAGGTGATCACAGCAGAAAAATACAGAGACATCAGTGCCTGGGGGAGAGTTTTGTGCTTCAGCATAAGCAAAGAATGAGAGAGGAGGGAAGACTAAATAGCTTGATGAAGTTGCAGGTTATTGAAAGCACAGAAGCTTTAAGAGTGTGATGCTTTAAAATTAATTGTTTGCTTTAACTATAGTAATATGCAACTATGAATACTTTGTGTGTGTGTTTATACAACATTAGTCTTATATTCTAAAAGTGAAGTCAGCCAAATCTGAGGATGCTGAAATCTTGTGATTGGAGCTGTGAATGAATAAGACAGCTCTTTCTACAAGCCTGAAAAATGCTCCAGGTCTGCAGATGAATTTGAAGTCTTAAAAACAAACAAAAACCCCAACAACAAAATTGGCTTGTTTTTTTTAAAAAAACTGAACAATAAAAGAAGCACCTGTAACTTTAAAAAAGGATGCTCTCAGTGATCATTGCTAGGCAACCACAGCATTCCAGGCTTGCTTTCCGTGAGTAAAAGGCAGGTGAAAGGGGAATGCCGGTTTCTAGGCCTATTTTGGCCTTTGAGGGAGGACTCATGAGAGCCAGGCCTGATGACAACCACTGGGTGATTTGATACCATCTGATCTGTATGACACACCTAGACTTGGCTGCTTGCTACTGTTCAACAGGCATACTGTGAACGCCAGTGTGGTTTAGCAATTAGAACTTTAGTGTAGGGTTCAGAAGACCCAGTTTCAAATCACCAGTCTGCCATAGAAACTCACTAGATGATGTTGTGACAGTAACATACTTTCAGCCTAACCTAACTCACAGGGCTGTTGTGAGGATAAAAAGGAGAAGAGGAGAATGCTGTAGGGTACTTTGGTCCCCACTGTGGAGAGAGATGGGGTGTAAATGAAGAAGGTAAATAATAAATATAGCTCAAGATGGGAGGTAGGTAAAAGGTAGGTTGGTGAATGGCTGAGAAGGAGAGAAAGGGCAGACGATATGGGGGTTGCCAGGAGGAGGAAGAGGAGAAAGAATGTGAGGAGGGGGATGCAAGGGAAAATGATGTGCCCCCTGTGAGTGGGCCTGGCCTGGCAGATGGCACCACATAACTGTGCCATAGTTTCCCTAGGTAGAGGCTGTCAGGGGAGGAGCTGAAGACAGAGTGGCAAATAAAGGTTGATTGGCTTTTGGGTAGGAAGGAGAGAAGGAAGCAGGGAAAGGGGAGAGGCTATAGGGGCTGTTACAGAAGAGAAAGAAGAAATAGTGGAGGAGGGGCAAATAAGATGCCCCCCACAAGTCCTTGCAGGTTCTCGCTTGTAATATTCTTAATGCCCATCCTGGACTTTACATGTTGCCTTTGGTGGTATCCTGATGAACAAGGCCATAGACACTGTATATAGTACTTTAAGTTTATTAGCAGTGTTGTGCCCAGTTCTCTTTTTTATTTACAAATTTTATTGTTTCTCAAAAATATCAATACTGTAAAACAGCCTTCTCAAATCCTGTTTACCAAATCTATCTTACTTCTCCTAGTGATTATATCTACCTTTCCCTGACCCAATACCTTGTTAAAAAACAACCAGAAGAAAGGCAGGGTAGAAAAGATGAAGGTGGAAGTTAGGAATGGGAGGATAGGTATCAGACATTCAAGCAGTGCCGGATTTACGCATAAGCTAAATAAGCTACAGTTTAGGGCCTCGCAATCTGCTGGGGCCTCAAATAAAAACACAATATAAAAATTATTTCAAATATTAAAAAGGCGTATATATTTTAAATTTTTCTGAGACCAGCTGATGTAATTTAAAACAGTAGGGGGCCTCTGGGTTTTGTATAGCTTAGGGCCTCAGCAAGTCTAAATGGGAGAACAGACATTCAAGATGGGGTAAATTTGATTTTCATTTCAAATCATTGTAAAGATTTCTTTCAAATTTCACCATGTTTGTTTAGAGTTCACCATTTGCTGCATGCATTTGTTTTCACACAGTAAAGCAGACCCAAAAGGCAACCAGAAAATTTCTTGTAACTTTCTTTCTCTCTGTCAGTTCAGACCCACGCTCAATCCACCTTTTCTGTGACCTCAAAGTGGGACTTAAAACACAACAAATGCAGAGTACCATCTGGCATAAAAGGCTGGGTGTGACTCAAATGATCTTCAAATCCTGATAAAACCTTTTCAATCACTCATTTGGCGCATGCCCAGGAGAAGAAAAGCTGGTTTGGGACAAATGGCTGGTGCTTAAAGATTGGATTTTTTGTTTTGTTTTGTTAGGGCAGTTTAATCTTTAACTTGGCAAGTCTTGCATTCAGTTCGTATTTGGCTTTTGGGTAATTACAAGAGCTGCATTTGTTGTTTTATTCGCTTTGTGAGACCCTTTTAGTACAGCATCCTATGTGATGTTAATGAAATGCTGTTCAAAAAATGCTATCAAAATTCTTTGGCTGTACATTAACTGTGTTGAGTCAAACATCTGCCTGCTAAAGTGGGAGTAAGAGGGAAAACTAGAAAGAGTATATGAAATCACCTAATGCAACGGACATGAAGTTGAGCAAACTTCAGAGGACGGCGGAAGACCAGAAGGCCTGGCGTGATCTGGTCCATGGGGTCGCGAAGAGTCGGACTCGACTGTGCGACTGAACAACATCAACAACAAATGCAAAATTGTCTGTAGATAGAACCTTGAAGCAAATAGTGTGGGTTTGTTAGCAGTGGGTAAGTAATGTATGTTTTATTCTAGTGGTCCATGACTGGAATTAATTATTGACTGATTAATATAGAGCAGTGGATAAATAAGTTTCTGACCCTATAAATTATGAATATTTCATCAGGATTTCAGGATTTCACATGTATGTTTATTTGTACAAAGACTGGATGATCTGTATGCCATGGTATCATTCATGGTTCTGGAAAGATTTGTGTGCATTTTTGAGTGCCCTCTGCTGGCAGATACAGATATGTTTCTAACATCTACAGTAATAGAAATAACGGCAGCATTTACAAAAGAAACAAAACGACAATGACGGCCAAAATTGCAGGGGAAAGAGGCAGTGCCATAATATTTCTGTTTGGTTTTCTCTCTCATACTCCTCTTCTTATTTCAATCCATGTCTGCACAGTCCTAGACTATCACTGGCCATTACACCAGACTGTGGGTTGGGAAGATGGGAGGCACAATCTAGCGACTGGCAGATGAAAAGAGCTTTCCATGTGTGGATTTGTAAACTAGATTCTGGTGGGGGACAGAGAAGAAGGCAGCCCCACATCCCTGAGCCCTTATTAGTTTTGACCATGTGTTTTGTAAAATCCAAAGATGCGGATGACATGGTTGGAAAACCCTATTCCTCTAGTTAATTCAGTGGAGGCACTTCCTCCTACCTGGCAGATGATTCTTCTTGTATTCAGTGATCTCACAGCTCAACAATCATGGTTGAATGTTGCTAATTTTTTTTGCTGATTTTTAAATCATGGATTTCATTATAATCTCTCTTTCCTTAACTTCTGATTGTTTTGAACAGAGCAGCACTTCCCTGAGGTGATGCTTGGCGAAGAGTTTCTCAGCCTTAGCTTGGACCAAGTTTGCAGTTTGATATCTAGTGACCAGCTCACAGTTTCGTCAGAGGAAAAGGTATGGTGTACTGTCCCATCTGTAACATGGAAGCAATTGTTTTGAGAATTATAGGTAAGCAGGGGGTGGGGTGTGTGTATTGTGTGTGATGTCAAGTCCAGCTGCGCAGGCCCTGGAAGGCAAAGCAAAGGTTGACCCTCTAAAGCAGATGGTGTCAGGTGATGTCAAGTCCCTGGAAGGTTGACCCTCTAAAGCAGATGGTGTCCGGCTGGAGTCACGAGGAACCCATGCTTTTTTTATTGTTCAAAGTTCTACTGCAAGCTCTTTCTGCTTTCATAAAAAGACAGCCTGTAGAAGAGGGATGTTTTCCGGAATCAGTAAAAATGTAACAGGTGACTGTTCACTAGGAGACCTGTGTGCTGGTACAGTCATGGCTCAAGAGGCTCAGAAATCCAGTGCTGAGCCACTCAGGACTTTGTAAGAATTTAAAGCCAAGCCCAATAAACTCTATATGTATGATTACTCAAAGTAACCAATCCTGATTATTCTCATTTGGAAGAGTGCTGCTTCATACCATGTGTTCCTGCTGCCCAGAAAGTGCTTCTGTAAGAAAAGCCATTGTAGAGTACCTCTGCCCAGAATGGTTTACGTGTGCATTTTATGGCATGGTCGTGTTCTGTAAAACCATGATGCCTGCCCTGCACACAGGTTTTTTCAGCCAGTCTTGCCAATCCTGCTGCTGAGTGCACTTCTAAAACTTTTTCCCATTCTCAAACTGCTACAAAGATTTTTTTTTAATTCAGTTTCAAAGGATAAATTGAAAATAAAATAGCCTTTATAATTAGACAGAAAATACCCGTCTAAGTTCAGTTAAATCGTGGGCATAGAATGTTGTAACTGTGCTTAGGGTAGTAATATGGGACATATAAGGTGGGTCATGGATAGGAAGAATAGGAAATCAAAGGTGTTAGACAAATACATACTGTTATTATTTATACCCCATTTTTTAACTCACTGGGGATACAAAGTGGCTTATGACTTCTTCCTCTTCTCCATTTTAAAGCTTCCGTTTCTTTTCAAGGGTTTATTTATGTGTAGAGATGAAAAGACAAAATCATATTCCTTTTTGTTGCTATTATTACTTGGAAACACAATATGCCCACTTCTGTGTCTTAAGTGTCAATAATATAGTATGTGGCTGTCAAATAGGTTTTAGCTACTATATCCCAGAAAGATTCAATGCAGATTAAACAATGGCGCACCTCAAACAGCTAAGTGATTTGTATAACAGGAAAAGATCCCGCCTTAACCAACCACTAATCAAGCTGGAGATATGAGGTCAAAGTGTGTGATTTAAAACACAGTTAAATGAGCAATTAATTAACCTCTTGCAGAAAATACTACAAGCTTGATTAGAATGCAGTTGATGCCACTTTAAATTTAATGTCCCATTACTAATTTACACTGGTCAGATGGTATGGTTTTTAAAAAGCAGTGGAGTGTTTATGTGAACATGTGCGATCACTGTTTAAGTCCCAGATGACTCCTGCATCCCAATGCTTGCTCAGTAAGCAGAACACTCCTGCTCTTGTAAACATCATGAGTAAACCTTACAGCCTTGGGTGGCTTATTTTCAGTCCAGAACTCTGTGCGCAGCATTCCTTGTCTGAAGAAATTGAAATCATTTGGGTAGCTGGTGATCTTGGCGAGGAACAGCATTTAAGACTGATGTTGCTTAGTATTTCTTTTGGGTGATTATATTCTTACGTTTGATTGTCTATGAGTTTACCTCTTTGAGTCCTGTGCTACAGAAGAAGAGTGGCATTTAACTATGCTCAATAAATGAAATAATGAATTAGTTCTCGATAACATAACTTATTAGAAGCAGGGGTTTTTTTTGTTGGGGGTGGGCAGAAATCTCTGTCTGTGCTTTAAAAGTTTGTATGTAATATGAAGCTGTGAAAGTGCTGATTGAAGTAATATATATTTGCATCTAAGCATACACTTCACATAAATATGATAATCTGATTCCTTTTAAGTCACCTTTATGTCTTCTCTTTTCCTGGCTCTTTAAATCTTTTGCACACCAATCGCATGGCTTGCCAAACTTCCGTTTGCTATAAGAACATAAGAGACACCAATGTGGGATCAGGCCAAAGGCCCATCCAGTCCAACACTCTGTGTCACACAGTGGCCAGAAATACCAGTGCCATCAGGAGGTCCACCAGTGGGGCCAGGACATTAGAAGCCCATCTATGTTGGGTTCATGTTGCTGTACTTAAGTTGTGTTCTTGCTCTGTTCAGGTGTTTGAGTCTGTCATTTCTTGGATAAATTATGAGAAGGATTCCCGCTTGGAACACATGGCAAAGCTGATGGAGCATGTTCGTCTTCCTCTCTTGCCCAGAGATTACCTTGTACAGGTTAGTGAGCTTCAAAACTCCATAGGATTAAAATGTATGCATTACATGCTTCAGTTGCTGGTTCTTTTCATTGTGGCTTGCCATCATTGTTCCCTCTAAGCTGAGTTCGTGTGAGCTAGCTCACAGTTTTTTTAGCCTCCAGCTCACACATTTTTGTCTTAGCTCAGGAAGGATGGCTCCAGAGCATACTGATTTATGCAGTAGCCAAATTGCTTGCTCACAACTTTAATGCCAGTAGCTTACAAAGTAGATTTTTTGCTCCCAAGACTCCACAGCTTAGAGGGAGCATTGCTTGCCATCTATTGACAACTGTGTATGGGCTTTAGCCAGGAGAACGGTAGATAACTCTAGTCTCTATGCACACTATGGAGCCAGGAAGACACATTTTGAGCCCTCTTTTGACTTGAAATCACAGCTGGACAGAACGTGTATGGAACAGCTAGTGAGATAAGAAGCTGTGTCCTAATGATGTAGGAATTTTGGAAATATATTGTTAGTAGTCACACTTTTTAGAGCTTGTTTCACTGACACATTGGGGAGGGGTTGAGTAGGCATGAATCCCTGTTTATGAAAGATGGCCCTGACCCAAATACTTGTGCATGTTATATCTGTGTGCACAGTGCAGTTTTTTCTGAGCATTTATTTCCACAGCTTCCGTGCCGCCATTCCGCCCAACTGTTTTTGTTTTTTGTTTTGAATCCCCAGAGCTTAAAAAGCAGGTTGGGAAATAGGCTTTGCAGCTGCAGACATAGAAACCCCATAGCGATTGTTTTTGAAGCCCATGCACTCATTGGTCAGCCAGCCAAAGTACAGGATTTGGAACTGTCAGCTCCAATTCATTCTAGTCGTAGGGTTGGATCTAAACTAAACATTCTGGTCACGGAAGGGGTATGGTAATCTCCTTCATTTCCCTGTTCTTGCTGCAGACGGCCCAACTTGCCTCTCAATCTGTTCCTAGGGGTCCCTTCTCCCCCAGGATCAGTGTTCTGGGGAAATTAATGGGCTGCAGTGTGGGAGGGTTTGGAAGGAGCCAGTTTGGTGCAGTGGTTAAGTGCGTGGACTCTGATCTGGGAGAACCGGGTTTGATTCCCCACTCCTCCACTTGCACCTGCTGGATGACCTTGGGCAAGGCATAGTTCTGATAAGAGCTGTCCTTGAAAAAAAGCAGTTTCTGTCTGTGCTTTCTCAGCCCCACCTACCTCACAGGGTGTCTGTTGTGGGGAGGGGAAGGGAAAGGAATTTGTAAGCTGCTCTGAGACTCCCTTGTGTAGTGAAGGGCGGGGTATAAATCCAATCTCGACTCTTGGGAGCAAACTGTTGACAGAAGTGTCTTGTGTGAGCAGAAAATTTAATATGGATCCAACCCATAGTTCATGTGGAAGGTCCCACATGCAGAATAAGCTTTTCCAATATTGACTTTGGAGCAGGAAAGAACTGTGTGCATTTGTGGAGCTGTTTCCCGTTGCTCTTGAGAAGAGCCCACATCTTTGACCCTCCAAGAGTGCAGCCCATAGTGTGGAATATTAAAATCTTCTATAGAGGCCTTGCTCAGTGTACCCTCCCCACTTCAGAGTGAGGTAGGCGGTTACCAGAGAGGGCCTCTTCTGTAGGGGCCAGTTGACTGTGAAATTTGTGCCCCACAGATATTCACTTAGCATCCAGCCTTTTAAGCTTTAGATATCAGGTCAAGACATTTTGATTCACTCAGGCTTTGAGCTGGCTAGTTTTGTTGCATTAGTGCTTAATTTTTTTTTTAGATTACCCTCTTCCATCCTGCTGTTGGATCCATTTGCACTATTACTAGCTATATTATATTTATTATTATTAATGGATATTGATGATGATTTTATTTCGGCTTGCATGACCAAAAGTCTTAAGCACACTTATACACACATATAAAAGTACCATTCATACAGAAAAAGAAAACAAAACAGAACATCAGCACTTATTAAAAAACAATACTCAATCATAAACAGAAGGGTGCATTGTCCCAATATGAGTGTATTATACTAGGTGGAATCGTCAGACAAGATAAATCCTCAAGCGGGTAAACACAGCATCAAATCAGAAAGGTTTGAACTTTCCCCTTCTTTTCCCTTTTTTTGTTTGCCACCAGGGCCAGAAACATGGCCACAGCTTTGGTAACTGAATCAACATTATCAGATAAGAGAACAGAAATTGACCAGGGGAGGGAAGGAAGATTTTCCTTTATCAAGATAGGTATAATATACCTCTGCCTCTCCATATTCCAGTTGGGGCAAGCTAGTAATATATGATCCATCGTCTCCACCCTACCTTGATTACAATCGCATATCCGTTCAGAGAACGGGATGCCATGAAAGCGGCCAGAGACTATATTCGACGGGAACGTATTCAGTCTAGCCAACATGAAGGCTCTACGAAGTACTGGACTTTTGAGAGTGTAACAATAAGTAGGGATCACTACCGGCGGTGGAAGGCCAAGGGATAGACCCGAGCAGGTACGCTGAGCTCTGCAAAGTGTACTGCTGAAGTCCAGTTCCCTTAGTTTAGTTTTTATGAGTTTAAAGACCTCCCTTTGCTGTGAGGAGGAGAGCTTTCTAAATTATATACAA